CCCCCCTTCCTCCTCCCTCATCTTTATCGCCCTTAAGCAAGTGCTGCAAACAGGCGAGCCCTAGTCAATGATGGCGCAGATTAGTCTTTTATTGCCTAATTCACCTACAATAGGCGACACGCGGGGACACGATCACCTTGAGCGGCGCGTCTTGATGTGTCCTCACAAGGTGCCAGAGTGATGCTGATTTGTTCGCTCAGGCCACCTTGTTCTGTTTTAATAGTGTCAGCAGTACTTTAAGCTTTCGATTAGTGAGGTGTGTGTGTGTGTGTGTGTGTGTGTTTGAGTGCATGTGTGTTTGAGTGTGTGTTAGTTGAGGGGGATGTTTCACACAGCTCTGTGGAGGTGTAACACCCTGCCTGTAGTGTTGTTGTAAAGCACATTAGGAGTGACTGAGGGTGTTGTTATGGTATCATGATGCCGGTCCAGCACTCAAGGGAAGGTGAGAAGATCTGTGTGTGAGGGTGGGTGTGTGTGTGTGAGGGTGGGTGGGTGTGTGTGTGTGTGTGGTCCAAGCTCCCCAGCACGGCTCGCTGTCTTTCAATTCCCGCTGCCGCCCTCCAACTCTCCCTTAATGCACAAGTTTGATTTATTCAAAGTCCCCCTCCACTCAGAAATGTGTTTAGCCTATTGTTACATCACTTGGATGTTTGACCTTTGACCTGAGGTAATTTAGCTGCTAAAAGGGGCAAAGTTTCTCACCTGAAATCCGAGCAGGAGTTCCGTGATTTTCTCTGATCTCATTGTTCAATGCACAATTTACACATGTGTCATGTGGAAACTTAAAATCTCCTGTGAACATCAGTAAAGAAGACGACATTAAAACTTTTGAAATTAAGAATATTTGCATTTTTCATCGAAAAATAGGGCAATTGAGTAGAAAAAATGTAAAGAGCTTTTTGCAGATTGAGAGGATTTTATTTACATTAAAACAACTCAGTTGATAATTCATCATTTTTTGCATCATCATTATTTTGCCCATCAGTAATAATGATACTGTGTTCACCGGCTGAACTGCTGAGATCCGGGTGTGAGGAGCTGCCGTTAAAAAGAAATGCAACATGGCGAGACAGACGAGCGGTCAGATATCGTGCAGGTTTTTAACACACTCCACTTTATCCGCACTTATTCTGAAGAGAAAACAAAGGGTAAAATTATTACCTCAACATCTGACCAACATCACACCAACAAACCAATGTCCTGGTTCAACTTTGACCTACTGTACTCACCTCGGTTGTGCATGTGCACCAGTTTCCTGTGTGTTGGGTGCGTTCACTAAACTCTTTGTGAACTTTGCCGTGCTGTTGTTGCCATGTTCTCAGACGTTACTTTGCTGAGCACCATGTTATCATAACCAATGTCCAAAACTAGAGAAAAAAAAACAAGAGGCAAGCTGTAATAAAGTGAAAATATCTTTAAACGACATTGTGCCCGGCCCCAGAGTAGCCTGACTGTTTTGGTTCACGAGCCATTTATATGAATAAATTAAATCTGTTTACCACTTCCCCGCGCCTTGACAGCTCAGCTGAGAGACTGTGTAAAGCGGCGAGGGTTCATGATCCATTTGTTCTGCTGTGATGGTGGGATAAAGCTAATCATTGTCTACTCTTCTCCCCCCTCAGACTGTTTTTATCCTGCAGAGCAGAGGCACACAACTCGTCTACGTTACATCAACAGGCTAGAAGCTCTCTTTGAAGATGCAGGGCTGGGTTTTCGGGTGTCTGAAATAATGTTTATATTCCAAACTGCGCAATTGTGACAGTTCAGAAAGCATCCCCCTCTTACTTAGCGGAGATAATGCTCAGTGTTATTTAGCGTCACCGTCTTGCTGTGGCACTGTTTTGTCATCAAATTAAATCTGCAGCCCCCTGTCAAGGTAAACTTATGTAACATGATCACGTAATGAGACAAACATGGACCCTGCCTGATGGGAGTCGGCCCTGTCCTCTGCGGGGTGCCGTGTGGAAACAAAGCTTTTAAAGTGGTGGTACAGGGGGGAAGAAAAACATTGTTTTACCCTAGAGGTGGGCTGATAGCACTGTGAAAAGCCCATTTGAAGAGGTAGGCCTCATCTGTCACTGGGCAATGGAGGAGGCAGCCATGCAGAAGCCCCCTGATTATAAAGAGATAATTTCATCCAATCCTCTGGTGGTGCTCCATCGCCTTGCCGCCATACTCCACTGCCTTTCATATTTGTTCCCAGCCTGCATCTCCTCACCCGTTTCGTTTTATTACAGCTCCCACTCAATACATATATTTTAGCTCCCCCTTGAATAGGGAAGGAAAGCGGGTCTCCCTCCTCCTCTCCCAACCTCCACTCCCCCATGTGTCTTTTGTTGTGCAGGAATCCACAGCTCTCAACTTGTTGTGTAACGCCTGCCGTGCAATTTGCAGTAAATTAAGCTCAAGTAACGCGTGTATCTGCACCGACCCCCCCACCCCCTCCCACCCCTACGCTCCCCACACCCCCCACCCCCTCTCGCACACTCCAAAAAAAGCGTGCAGCAGGATTTCTAAGGGTAACTAGCTGAATCAAGGCAAATAAGTTCACATAGGGTAATGGTGCAGAGAAAATAATAAATGATAACATCTGTAAGATTAAAAAAAAAGAAAAGAGCAAGTAAATAGGGGCAGGCTCATAATTGCATCTGTTGTCATATCTCCACAGCATCGTGGGTTTAATCTTTAATTTGGCTCTTGTTAGTCATTAAAGATATAACAAAGAACTAGTGTTTAATTAGAACAAGTGAATATCTGAAAATTAAATTATTCCCCAACTCTGTCATCTCATACTTTTCTTAAAATGATCTCGGGGAGGAAAATAAGTGAGAAGACAGTGTGCCGAGGTCAGGAATATTGTTACGCTGTGTGTTTAACGGAGAAAGCAGGGGAGGTGAATGGCAGCCCAGCCTCTTTCTTTCCCTTTATTTTAACTCACTGTTGGAGGTAAGAGAAATGACATGGAGGGAGAAAAGAGGGAGAGAGAGCGAAGGGAAGGGCAGCAGGGAAGAGAGACGGAGAGAGCAGGTCGACTCGCTCATCAATAACCACAAGGTCAGACAGGCAGTGCCGGGCTGAGTGGGCCCTGTTAGGAAGCAGCAGCTGAGGATTTGTAGAGCTTGTAAAGGCTTAAAGCAACACCGCTCCGCCTTCTTTGTGCCACTAGCCAGGCCTTTGAAGGGCCAGGGAGACACCTGCTGGTGGCTGAGGGGCACGGTGGTACAGTGCCGTGCCTTTACCAAGGATCAGCTCAGTATCAGCTGGCACAGAGAGGGGACCGAGGCGTGTTCCAAGCAGTGAACTTAAAAAGAAGTCACAGCGTGGACAAATATTATTGCTGAGAGGAAGTTGTGACATTCAGGATGTCCTCACTGAAAAATACTGGAAAAAACAAAAAAGTTGGTGTGCTTGAATATATTCAATCAGGATTGGTTAGCTTCTGGTTTGGGTCTGGTTACCACCTCATAAAATTCAGAAAAGTAAATGTTTTTTGCATAAATAGAGTTACCTCAACTTTCAAAAGTTTTTGCCCATGTGAGACTTAAAAAAAAAAAAAAAAAAAAAACTGTCAACAAACAAGTACTTTTCATGTGCAGAGAGAGTCAGAGTGGGAAAAAAAACTCCTCCGATGTCTCTTTTCATTATGAGCTTTCTAATTTATGGAGAGGAATGCACTAGTGTGCCCTTCTCTCCTCTCAAGTACAGGCATGAGCAACTCCAATAGGTAGCATAAAAGCTCTTTAGCTGTCTAGTGGAGTAGATTACTGGCCCTGCCGTTAAATCCAGCTAGAGACCCCTAAGTGAGTATTATCAGTGTGGTGCAGCATGCTGCCTCCTCTCTCTCTCTCTCTCTCTCTCTCTCTCTCTCTCTC